CATAAGAGGCGGGGAACCGTCGGGCTGGGACAGATCGTGCCGTTCCGAGCCGAGCCGTGCCAAGCCAAGCCGAGCCGAGCTGTCCGGCGGGATGGAGGAGCGCTACACCAAGGCAGAGACCCTCGCCCTGCGGAGGAAGCACATCGGGTAGGGCTGCGGGACGGTTGTGCCTGGTGGCTTGGCTTTTCCAACAGATCAAAGCGAGCAGACCGAGCGTGGTACCCAGGTGTACGTCTGAAATGAGGCTGTGCAGGGTTGGGTTGTTGTTTTTTTTTGTGAATAAACCGCGCTCACCTGGAAAACAGACGTCTCTGCTAACGGGACTGCAGGAAGGCTGCCAGCAGTTGTGACCTGAGCGATAGTCCTGACTGTGCATGTATCTGATCCTTCTGCATTGCAATGTTATTTCCTCCAGAATGTGCGGTGTTAATTCTTTCTTTAGTAGGTGTTGCCAAGTAAAAAATAAGTCCAGGTTGTTAAAAACAGCGTTGTCTAGTTTGCTGATCACATGTTATATGTGTGGCATATATAGAAAGATCACTGAAGGTTCATAACTCACTAAAGATTCATAAAAGTCATGGCCTCAGAAAGAAAAACACTCTTTAAGGGCCAGCTCAATGTTAAGGCACTCCTGCCTGTGCAAGGGTTGTAGAATTGAGCTGTGCTGGGCAAACAAACAGAGATTTTCACAGAATGAACTGACATGTTATAAAAGAAAAATCTGCAGTCAAGAAATGGCCAATGATGATGAAGTGCATTGCTTTTAAAGTGTACCAGAGAAATAGGCAAAGATGTCAGAAAAGATCTATGCAACTGGGCTAGAAGCTGTTAGAAAGAATGTAAACTACTTTGCATTCCAGGGGTCACTTTTAGGCTTTACAAGTTCATAATCTCAGTATACCCTATAATAACTCTCAGACTTACCTGGAAACAACTGTGTTTATCCAAGGCTATATAAACATTGCTAAAATTCAGAAGACTTTTCATCTGCTCAGTAATATCATTCAACATAATTACATAGCTGGCACATTCTCCAAGAGGAAAAAAAATTAAAAAAATAAAAGAGTATTTAAAGAGTACTTTGGGTGATTATAAGGGACCTGGGTTTCATGGAAGTCAGTGTGATTTAGGTGCTTATAAAAGGTTTTATCCAAAGCAGACAGAGTGAGATAGTGAGACTTTTAGGACCTGCTCAGCACCTCTGAAAATAAAGCCTGCAAAGCATTAGTGTTTTGTTCTTGACTGTGACCTCTATATGCTACAGTCATCCATTGCGTAATGAATTTTTGGCTATAGTATCAACCAATGCTTAACAGCTTAGTTTAGTCACAGTGAATTATTTGGCCATAGATGTCCTTAAGGCATGTAAACAAACAGAGCTACAGCCTAGAAACACAGCAGGACATATAAGGACCTGGAATGACGTGCAGCCACTGTGCTCTTGTGAAATCAGACAGAATCAAGCTTTGAAAACACCCTTATTAAAGACCTGGTTCTGTTCTCACTGTGCCTGGGAAGGTGTGGGGGGGGGCTGTTTTCACTTTCAGCAAGAGCCCCCTACTTGACCACCATCTGAACAACTCACCAACTCTTTGCAGAGGGAGGCAGTAGTCTCCAGAGCTGCAAAAGATCAACCCCCTCAACACTCAAAGGAGGCGGAAGAAGTGAGAAAACTAAAATGGTGTTATTTTATAATTATTCTTTTTTAGGCCTTCCTGCAAGGTTTTTTATGCCAAGGACCCTCTGAAGATAGTACGTGCTCAGGGCCAATATATGTTTGATGAGAAAGGAGAAAAATACTTAGACTGCATCAACAACGTTGCCCATGGTAAGCGGTTTAACTTGAGACTGCTTCCATTCCTTCATTTTTAATAGGGATTAGAACATGCTTCTGTCAAGTGATGATGTTCACAGTGCTTCTCTGAACCTCCTTGTGTGGTTCAATACTGTCTGCTTGCTAGTAATAACTCATTATTTTCTTCTTTAGTTGGCCACAGTCATCCATATGTGATAAAGGCTGCAACAAAACAGATGGAACTGCTCAATACAAACTCTCGTTTCCTGCATGACAACCTTGTTCAGTACGCACAGCGTCTTACAGCCACCCTGCCCGAGAAACTCTCTGTTTGCTACTTTGTTAACTCTGGGTATGTCTGAATAGTATTTTTTTTCTGTTATGACTATTTTGCTTCTGTTTGAGATGAACACTCAGGACAGCTTGGTTTAAATCTTACTAAGTAGAACTTAGTAATATCCAACAAATGTATATCCAGTACTGATCAAAACTTCCTTCCTACTTGCAACTGCCATATTTAATGTGATGTCTCAAAGCAAGAGAGCCAAAACATGAAACTGGCCTGCTGAATGTTATGCAAAAGAAAAGGAGGGGGAAAAAAAAGGAGAAAAGGAATTTGGACTGCAAATTGGTGAACATTATGTACAGATTGGTGAATGCCATCTGTAAATTGACATCTAGCCTTGGAAACAAGTAGTCTTCGTTAGGCAGTCTGTTAGTTCATAGTCACTCACATTGCCAGAACAGACAGCCTTCAGGGACCCGTGAGCAGAGGGGCTGCAATAGGTCAGGCTGGAAGTTTGAGTCTTTGACCAGGGCACAGATTTGCATTCTCTGCTGCCTTATGGTGCAATTGCTGGGGAGTTTGGGGTGGGAGATGGGGCATTGCTTTTCAAGGGTTTGCAACTGCATTGTGTTCTCAGCTGCAAAGTGGTCTCATTTGTACCAAGAGGAGGTAAATATCTACAAGCAAACTGGGGGAGGGAAAGAAAGAACCTCTTTGTTTGCTCTTTATACAAAGAGCTGGTTTTTATTTGCCCTTTTACATCGCACTCATAGTATCAACCTCAGTATTGTTATATCTATTGGTCTCATGCCTCATCTTCTGCGTCAGAATGTCCTTTAAATTGGAAGCACTTCCTCACTGTTTTGTTGCCCTATCTGTTATTATGCAGGTCTGAAGCAAATGATCTTGCTTTACGACTGGCTCGGCAGTACCGTGGGCACCAGGATGTGATCACCCTTGAAAAGTAAGTACATAGAGTAGCTTATGTGAACGCAGGCAGCAACTCCTGCCTTTACTTCAGAAGCAGCTTTGCAGCAAACCCCTGCTGTTTGTACTCCACTGCCTGGTGAAAGGAAAGCTTTGTTGCTTTTGTATTAGAAGAGGTCAGGAAACCCCTTTTTCACATTTGGATAAACACAAGTTTTGAAGATCTCTGAAAAATAAGCTTGTCAGTCACCCCAGAAGGTCAGTCTCCTGCTAGAGGGCATTTCCCACAGAGACTCCCAAAGCAAGTCAGGCCAGAGACTTGAATGCTGATTTTCAACAGTAGGTGGTCTGGCCACTGGGCTGCTATGCAAAAGGACTTTCTGTTTGTCACACGTTGCTGGGCATGTTTCATTTTGCACAAAAAAATGTTCAGTGGTCAAGAAGAAAGATCCTGTAGCTCTTCAGCAGTGCTGCAATGATGCTCAGCTCTCCTCCAGTGAACACAAGTATGCGTGCAAAACCAAGCTGCTCCAAAATCAGGAGGCATTGAGAGAGCCATCAGCCATGGGGAAGGTGGCCAACCACATTTCCAGGTTTTTCTGTTCTTGATACAGCTGTAGGTTTGGTTACATTGCTGTAGGGCTGGATCTTCTTCTCAGGTTATGATTAGAAAGTCCAGCCAGAGCAACTGCAAGACTACAGGCCCCTATCTGAACAGTAGAAAGCAAGTTTGACTCAGCCAAGCTCAGATCCCTGTTAGCCACACACTACCTTGTGTGTGCTACTATGAGATTGTGATATGTCTTTGATTTGGTTTGAGGTTCACTTCACTTCAAGTTTATGGCTGGACAAAAGTGTTCCTTAGCTGAATGAAGATGCTACATGCTTTAGGCTCAAAAGGCTCTGGTTCCATGTTTCTAAATCAAATTGACCTCAGTAGTAACCAGCTTTAGCATACTCTGCAGTTCAAAGCTTTTATATTCAAAAAATTCATCCTTATCCTGAAGGTGACTTCTGCCAAACCATCTAGCCTGTAGGGTCTTCGAGGCAGATAGTGGTGTGCTGTTGTTGCATAAGGTTCCCACTTACCAATGCAATGCACACTCTTGAAAGTCTTTGCAATGGTGTTGGGGCTTACCTTGCAAATCTTGGGTTGGCCAGAGTTGGGGCCCACAGGTTGGAAATGAAGGAGCTAGATCCACCCTTCAGTTGCTATGTAAGGCTGCTAGTACAACCACCTTAGAGTCAATCAGGTCCAGGGGACTTCATCTTGGTCTGTCCCCATGCTGACACTTGACTTTATGTGAGAAAAAAAACCTTCTGGTTCCAGTCTTGCTGGTGAATTGAAGTCATCAGCAATTTCATATTGCCTTTGAGAGAAAGTCTGAGTAAATTAAATCAAGATTCCTTCACAAACAATGCTACTGTGTTGCAGATACAGTTGCTTATTCTGGATTGTTTATAGGCATAGTTATAAAGTTGGCTCTTCTATACATTTGATGAAAAGTGACTTGCATATTTAACACTCATGCAGTGCTTACCATGGCCATGTTACATCTCTGATTGACATCAGTCCCTATAAATTTAATCAGCTGGGGAAGGACAGCAAGAAGGAGTATGTGCATGTGGTAAGTGTGGTTTTTTGTTTGGGTTTTTCATTTGGTCATTTTTACGTCTGTTATGCAGCATATTGAATTACCCACTTCGGGTGTAAATATGCTTTCATTCTGTTTTGCTGATGCTAGAGTACATACACTTGACTGGTTTACAGAGAAATAAATACAGCAAAATTGTTTGCTTTTGGATTTCTAAGAGGGTGTTCAACTGTGAGGCTGATTTCCTTCATAGTGCTACAAGTTTCTTTAGTTACTGCATGATACAGTTACACAGTTTGATGAAATTAGCCAATATTCATTGTGTTGGTTTGACTTTGGACCCTGAGTCTACTTCCAAAAAACTGGAAAGGCAGACTGCAGAAGTTTACAACGATCTGGGTATAGGACTCATGGCTGTCCAAGTGGGATTTTTCAACCTAAGTTTGTATACCTTACAAAGACAATAATCTTTCTCAGCCCAGAGATACACAAAAAGCAGATCTTTCCTATCTAGACCTACTTGCATTAACTGCACTGCCAAAGTAGTATCCACATTTTTATATCACTTCCTTTCTCTTATTTACTGAACCTCTCCCAACACCAGTTGTAGAGACGTGAAGGTCATACCCTCATACCATGACTAGGACACTGGAAGGGAAGTGACACACTGGAAAAGTCCATTATCCAGTTGCAGAAATAGATCTTTCTGCAAGAATCTGAAATAAAATGATGAATGAGAACTCATTATTGTGTCTTGAGGGAGAGGACAGTCTTGAAAGGTGGATGAGGTAGATGATGGCTCTTTCAACCTTGTGATGAATGCATCACAAGGCTGGATTGAGTTGAAGCTCCTGTAAACATATTTGCAATTCCAAGCAGAAATTGAGGCTGTACTAACTCCCATTACGTATCTGTGTGGAAATCTAGTAAAGCAGAGCAATAGAAAAGAAAGTAAATGTTTCATAGAAGGATGGCCTTTATTTTAAAAAAAATAAATCGGTCTTTTCAGGCTCCTTCTCCAGATATCTACAGAGGGAAATACAGGGAAGACCACCCAGATCCAGCAAGTGCTTATGCTGAAGAGGTGAAAAAAATTATTGAAGAAACACAGAAGAATGGACGCAAGGTGGGTGTTTTGTGCTCTAGAAATGCTGAGGCTTCATCTATTAAGTGTGGCATGGGGGCATGTAACAGGCAACTAAGGACTTGTTTCTTTACTCAGTTTCACATGCTTCCCTCTCCCTTCATTTTTCTATAATGGGTTCTGTGTTCAAAATGGGCCATTTTTCTACCTGATGCTTTTATCATAATTTTTCTAGGCATCAGTAAAATGATCAATAATATGGTTGTATATAAGCAGATACAACCAAAGGAGTTTAATTTCCCATTTTATGAATTGAGTTGGTAGATTGTAAATATCTTAGAGCAAGGTTTGAGGTCAACTAAGAAACTACATCACAAATTCTAGCAAAGATATATAAAAGCCTCCAGGACATGGAGAAAATCTACTAGATAAAATCTTGGTGCTACATTTCTGAGCCTCGTAGCTTAAGATAACTTTGGAGTCACATAGAAAGATGAAACTTTCTAATCATACACCCTATGAACTCGATAAAAACCTTAAATAAGTTTACCTAAAATGTGTGTTAATGTTTTATATGATGGCATTAACGTTTTGAGACATGTAGAGCTTGATCCAAGACTGGAACATGTTCCCGTCCAGTCCAATGGACTTACATCATTCTTCTTTTATTTTCTTCATCAACATTTTTTTATTCTCTACTAACGGATAGTTTTGTTTTTTCTTCCCTTGTTTCCTTTCTTTTGCATATTTCTTAGGTTTTGGTGACATAGACCTGTGGCAGGACAAGTTGTGCTAAAGGCTAAGCCTCACATGCTATGGGAAGCTTCGTACTCTTTGGCCGTAGCATGCCTCTTCAAATATAGTGTACGGTTCTTTGCACGTTACTGCTCGGCCTTGTTTCCAGGAAGACTGCACCAGCACAGAGAGACCTCTTGATGCTCAGGGAGGGGTTCACAAGTGGTGTGGGGATGCAATCCCTTAAATAGCAGACTTATGCTGAGACCTTGGGGTAATATTGTATCTCTGCTGCATAGACCTTTGCTGTTGACAAGAAAGGAATTTTGATGTTCCGGTGTATCTGATCTGCTGCTCTTACTCTTCCTGACTTGAAATAACTTTCTTTTTCATTCCTAGCAACTGGAATTATTTCATCTGTAGAATTTTTCTCTTTTGTCAAGTGCCTCGTACCGACATTTCACTTGTGTAGCTATTTGCATAAGGCAGGGGTGCCCAAAGGCTAGCCACAGGTCATCTTACAGTTCAGCTTCTACACACCTCTACTTGGTGTTCAGGATTGGACAAAAAAGCTGATCACAACATATACCTGTTACTGAAGAGTCTTGGCATTAAGCAAGTTTTATTAACTTCTTAGGGAAAATGACACACACTGTTGTGTGTCTCATGTAAATTGAAATTTGTAAATAAATTTACATAGGTCCCAGAAGCCTGATCATTGCACCGATGTTGACCAATTCAACAGCTGTAGGACAAGGGCTTAATGGAGATCCTTGCATTCCCATCAGGCTGCAAAGGTGGCCCTGGCTACTGCAAATTTGGGCACCCCAGATTACAAAATGGATACATTCTTTAGCCATAGCTGTTCTCAAGAGCTCTCAATTGTCCAACCCATTGCGTGATTAAATTAAGGCACACATTTAAACATTTATTTCTAGACTGTTAGATGTCTGTGCAAAGGCCAAGTAGATGAACACAGCTCTCACCTGAGTTTCTTTCTTGTAGATTGCTGCCTTCATAGCTGAGTCCATGCAGAGCTGTGGAGGCCAAGTAATTCCACCTGTGGGCTACTTCCAGAAAGTGGCAGAGTACGTACATCACTTCAAAGGTGGATAACTGGAAAATTAACCAAAGAAACAGATTTTTCACTATAGGCTTATCTAATCAATTCAGCTGTCAACCTCTCTTATTCTTGGCTATCTGTGGCTCATTTCTACTTTTTGAAGAGTGTGATTCCACTTCAATTTTTTGTGGAATATCAGGTGACTAATTGTTTTTAGCTAGATATTTGTCTTTCCTTACCGATTGTTAATCCTCAACCATACATTTGATGGAAGATGAAGTTAAATCATCATAATTATAATCCTGCAGTACCATTACAGTACCGCTATTTTGCATCAAAATGTCAGATTTTTTCCTTAACATTTAGCATATAAAAATTTTATAGCTATAAAACAGCTATAAAATATTTTTATATAGCTGTGTTCTTTTTTTCCTGCACTGGTCTCACACTGGAGAATTTCTGTAATACAGACTCCCTTGTCCTTGATTGCCTACCTGAGACATGTACTGCAGCAGTAGTCTTTCAAGCTTTTCTGTTTATTTTCAGGTATGTGCATGCAGCAGGTGGAGTGTTTATAGCTGATGAAGTCCAGGTTGGCTTTGGCAGAGTTGGGAAGCATTTTTGGGCATTCCAGCTACAAGGCGAAGACTTTGTGCCTGACATTGTCACCATGGGAAAGCCCATTGGCAATGGACACCCTATGTCTTGTGTGGTCACAACAAGGGAAATTGCTGAAGGTTTTGGTGCCTCTGGACTGGAATATTTTAATACAGTAAGTTCATAGGTGAAGGTTTGCCTTTTTTTTTTCTTTTGGTCTGCATTTAGCAGTTAGAAGGTTTTCAGGTGATTCAGCTAACATCTAGATCCATCACATTACTAAGAGCTCAAGTCAATCACAGTCTAATGTCTAAAAGCAAGTGGAGAGACTTTGAAATATGTTCTGTATCAAGTGGTGCATTATCATGTGGACCAGCACTAGCTCTCTGGCAAGTCATGCATCTCAGCTGACATCCATACAGATAAATTCTTCCTTACAACTCTGAAATGTTGATCATATAAAATTAAATTTTCTAGGACAGACTCTGTACTGATGGGGCCCATGCCCTGGCAGACCCTGTTCTGCAGTTGACACCTAACAAAACAGAGAACCTTTACTAGGAAACATTTAATTGGTGTGCATGCCACAGAAGTACAGCTTTCTTCTGGTTTACAGAGCCCTCTTTCTGCTCCTGTGACTCAGCCTTCTTCTCAGCTGCCATGAATCCCCCTGCTTTTGATGGAGTTTTTACCCTCTGGTTCAAGAAATTTTGGATCTGTCACCCACTGCTTTTCCCAGGAGCATTTTGCCTGCACAAGCAGGCTGAACACTTCAGCTGTGAAATCTTCAAATTACTGAAACCTGAAGTGGAGGGAGAGAGAGTCCCTCCCTTCCAAAAGTGTGAGGAATGATGTTCCACAGCCTGAATGGCACAAAATCCCCACCTCTTCAAACTTTCTTCATGACATGCCAAGCAGGAGAGGGCAAATGAAAACTGCACGGATAGACACAGATGAATGTTTTGGTTTGGTGGGCTTTTTTTTTTGATGATGGGTTTTGTTTCTCTGTTTGTTTTTGCTATCAGTTTGGAGGCAATCCAGTCTCTTGTGCTGTTGGTTTGGCTGTGCTGGATGTAATAGAGAAAGAAGATCTCCAAGGAAATGCTACACGTGTAGGAAATTATCTTCTGGAGTTACTGGCTGAGCAGAAAGAGAAACATCCCTTAGTGGGAGATATCAGGTGGGTGTGCTACAGAAATGTCAGACAAGAAAGTAACTGTGCTAGGAAAAGGAACAAGCATGGGGTGAGTGGAACACAGAAACATTATGTCATTTTTTTTACACGTCTTTTTTAAGATGGACTACCCTACTAGTATTGTAAGGCAATATATTTTTTTAAAAAAGTTGTCCATCCATCTGCTTAGTTAGGTATAAGCATAACCACTAGAAAAGCTCTGGGAGAGCAGGAGAGAAAAAGCCATCCAAATGCAATAACCCAGTTGTCATCACAATATTGTGATTCAAATCTCTGGTCCATCTCCTTGGGATATGTTACTGTGGATTTCCTCATCTCATGTTACTACCATTGATAACTGCCTTTAGGTTTTTTTGGGGGGCAGGGATTGAGTTGCAGGGTTTTCATACTTCTTGTCTTTCATTATCTTCCACAGCCCCCTGACATAATTTGCAGGATAAGAGAGAAAGAAAATTATTCTATCATTCTTAACTAGCCATGTAGCCTTAAAGAGCCAGCTAAATTTATTTATCCAGAAATATCTGTTGTCCCATTTGATCATCTGAAGTAGCCAAAAGGCGACCAAAGAGAAAGTCTTGTCTTTCATGCTCCTTTCCCAGTTTGCATTGCAGGGGAGGGAATTGCAGTTGTTAGAAATAGGTATCACATTTGCAGCTGAAGGGTTAGGTTACTGATGCTGGATTTCACTTGTGTGTACTTTTTTTTCTCTATTCCAGGGGTGCTGGATTGTTTGTTGGAGTGGATCTGGTGAAAGATCGACAAAAGCGAACACCAGCCACAGCTGAAGCCCTTCATCTTATTTACAAGTAAACAGTTTTTAAAGACTCTGTAGTAATCAAACTCTCCTAATGTTCCCCAGCAGTTAGTAATAAATTTCAGTTTAAATTTGTGTAGTTTTTCATACTAGAAAAAGAAAACTTTCAAAATCTGTCTCAGCCTGCAGGGTGTGACAGGACACAATATAATTTTCTGCCTGTGTCTAACACAGATGTTTCCTTTTTCCACAGGCTCAAAGAGCACCAAATACTTCTTAGCGCAGATGGACCCTACAGAAATATTCTAAAATTTAAACCACCAATGTGTTTCACTATGGAAGATGCAAAACATGCAGTGGAGACAATTGATGCACTTCTTACAGGTATGTATGCTTTAGGGCTCAGAGGAATACTCTTCTTTGTTCATTTCCAGATGACCCTTTAGAAACAACAGCTGCCATAACCTAAGCCTTTGCATGCAAGGGAAAGTAATCAACTGCATTTCTTACCACTTATACAAACTGCTGTTCTTAATGCCAATTATTAAAAATAAATAAAAAGCCCTATATGTACTTCTTCCAAACTTTTAGGCAAAATCCTACACTTAATCCTTTCTCTCACAGACTCAGTGTTATTACTCATTTCTGGTCACATATATGACTGTATGTTAAGAAGTGAATATATTAATTCAGCACCAACCTGAAAGATACTGCAGAGACACTGGTGTAACTTTCCATAATGTACTCTACCTTTTTTTTTTTTTGGTTTTGTTTGGTTTTCTTGTGGGTTTTTAGTTTGTTTTTGTTTTAACTGGTGTACCAGAACATGATTGCCTCACTCAAATTTAGCCTGAAGGTTTTCAGGCTCTATTTATCTTTTATCTGAGGAAAATAACATCAGATATACTATTATTGTAAGGACTCCCAAAGCCCATTGTACACTAAATGCTCCCATCTTCTGAGATCATAACAACTAGAGTTAGACTAGCACAAACCTGCTGGACAAAGGCAGAATTCCACTCTGAAAGGTCTACCTGAACTCCCATGCTACAGTCAAGTTGTTCATTTTAATCTTTTCTCTAGACACCCTCAAGCTACACAGTCCTGATAGATTAATCACATTGCCTCAAAAAATGTTTTCGAAAGTATTCATCATTCTTCAGTTATTCTTCTGAGTGATAAATGCCCAGAGGAATAACTGGGTTTTTTCACTTCAGTCAGCTATTAAATTGACTCTATGCTGGTCATATTAAAAAGAACCCCTGGTTCTTTTTAATTTAATTATTTTATTACTTTGGATTTTTAGAAATGGAAGAGGCCACTGGAATGAAGACAGAAAATAATGCATCTACAAATGTACAGTGTAAAAGAAAAGTAAGTTTAACATTTTTAAACTCTTATTCAGATAGGTGTTTGGCAAAGCAAGTATAAATTACTTTGGTAGAGCATGCTTTCATTGTTTTGTAGCTTGAGTGGCTCTGTGCCTTGAAAATGAGTTCAGAATGTAACTTACTGCTAGAAACCTGAGGGGATTGTCTCACTGGTGCAAATATAAAAAGAGATGAAGAATACAGTCCTACAACAAGAAACATGTTACAGATGAGCCCCTCACCTTGTCTGGCTGTTCAAACACGGCCAACCAGACTTCGGGCTGCACAAAATCATGAGCACAGCAGACAGCAATCACTAGTTCTAGGTATTACAAGCTACTGATGGATATTTGGATTTCTAAGCAAGCCTTCAGCCTGGAAGGTGTCCAGGTTTTCAGACAGTTCCAAGGATTTTGTTTCCACCATAGCTCTTTGAGTGTGAATGGCTGACATGCATCCAAATTAGAACTTCTTAGTTTGCAGCCCCAACTTGGGATAAATCACATATAATTTCTCACACCCTTAAAAACATGTTGCTCTCTTTATAGGAAAGCTCCTGAACTGTCCCTCAGTGGATTTTCCAGTGGTGCTGTGGGGGTGGGAAACCTGTAGTAATTAAGCAGAGACCCTATTAATTATTTGCTATCTATCTGGATTATACTAGATTTGGAGTGTAAGCCTCCTCTTACAGATATTTGTACATATTCAGTTCAATTTCTTTCAAAGCTAAGAAGTTGTGCTGTTAATAAAGAATCAGGCAGAGCTACCTAACAGGAGCCAAGTCCAATGGCTGCCTGGTGGAAGACATGCACATGACTCCATTGACATTTTCTTTCTGTTTCAGACAACTGAAGAGAGTTCTCAACCAGAAGGTGCAAATGAAGCCATTGGCCACGTGAATGGAGCTGCCTGCAGACAAGAAAATGGGATTTATTCGAAGAAACGCTCACAGTCAAGTAAAAGAATAAGAACATGAAGAGTGAACTTTCTTCATTCAGTTTGAATTTGTCTCCATCTTGCTTTTGAGATGAAGAGTGCAATAGTCCAAGTCCTAGGATCTGTTTAAAGCCTAGTCATACCTTCCATAAACTGGCTGAATTCCTATTAGCTTCAGTAGGTTTAAAATACCTTCTCAGATACATGAGAAGTGCACCATGTGGCTTGAAATCTAGATGTGACAGAATGGACAAGTGATACCAAAATACCTTGGTGCTGATGGCAGGCTTGACATAGGTGCACAAACTCAGTGAAACCCACGGATTTACCTACATTACATAGAATCTGATTTGCTTAACTGCCGTAAAGTAAATGCCAATCCTATTAAGTTTAAAAATATATGCTTAACATGCTATTTTTACAATATTTTAAATTTCAATATGTAATATTGAGATGTTAATTACTTCCCATGTTTTAATGGCTGAATTCACTAAACAATGCTTGAGAAAGAAATAATTATCTTCCAGTGTAAGTTAGGTCCTATGGACCACATTCCCAGCTGATGTAAATTGGACTAGCTTTGCTAATGTTAACACTGCTCTACCAAGAGTCTACCACTCTGTGTGTAGAAACATGATGTCTGTGCAGGGCATTCCACTATAAATTCAAAGAAAATGAAGAATCTCATTTTCTCTGAATAAATCAACTTTTATAAATAACTATTTATATAGAGTAAGATTTTATGATTTTTTTTCAGAAGTTTATAGATTAAACCTTATCCGTCCATAAAATATGTGAGTATAGATCATTTCAGACACAGTGATTGATTGAATTTAACCTGAAGGTCTCTCAAAATAAGGTTCCCAGAGACAGCCCAGATTGAATTCCCATGGATTTTAGTTGCTTTGACAGTTGTGGGAATTACTGCTGGATCCTGTTGAAGCTGTGCTGTTACTTTGTCAGTTATGATGAAGAGTTGCATACCAGTTTGCATGGGATCCTGACAAATAAGTGGCTATGCTAACATTGGATAGATTACTAAAATGAGAGGACCACTGCATAAACCATGTATGAAACCACTGCCTATTTGTCTGCTAGATATTTCAGACAGATTTGAGCACATACAAGCCCTGCTTCTCTTTCTTAATACATGCACAGTTCCATGCTATGGAGGACACTGAGGGTTTGTACTTCAAAAAAACACAAGCAAACGAGCAAACAAAGTGTATTTATTTCCTCTTCAGTTTTAATACCCTAAATTCTGCTGTTTCATAATTGCTGCTAATGATCCTGCTGATATGACTGAAAATGGAGCACCTTATCTAATTTCATGTTTTCCACAATTTAATATTGATATTTCCAATGTAACATCTTCCCACATCCTCAAGCTGGCTTATTCTCTGTTTCATGATCCTTGAATAATTCTTTCATAAAAATAAATCTCTTCTAATTATGATGTGCTCCACAAAGAGGGTGTTTGTTTTTTTTTTTATTTTAATTTTATTCTTCAGTAACACCTATTTGGTGAGGGAAGTAACTTCCTATTTGGCTGGAGGTTGTATACATGCCAAAGCAGAACTGAATAGTTTCCCTGAGGTCCTCAGCTGTTGGCAGCTCTCACCCTTCAAGCCAGATAGTGCCTCAGCTGCCACAATTTAGCCCCTGCAAACTCTGCACCAGGGAGGACACCACAGGTCTTTTCTAACATCAAACTACACAAAGAACTAAGTCAACCTAACTTGGTATGTCCAAAGGCATGGTTTAGGTCACTCCTCATATGGAGTGCCACTACTTACATTATACTCATCCACTGTGTGCAGCAGCATGCACTTCCCAGCAAGCAAATACTTGTGTGATTTATTGGAAGGCTTAAGCTCAAAGGCATAGAGCCTACCAGCCTATATTATGACAATGACTGTTCTTGGAGGTCATTAATATTTAATTTGCAAAAGCATGATAAAGAACTAGAAATACAAATCCAATTACCCTAAATTGGGGTGGGAGGTTGGAGTGGGACGACTGGTGAGGATTACAAGCTCATATACACAAGGAGCCTATGCCTCTCTACTACCATATTTGTGTCTTGCTTCTGCACATGCTCAAAATATTTGGAACAACCATTACTCCAATTCACTGGTGTTTTTCACCCAGCTTCTGCTACACAAGTCAGGAAGCTCTCTACCCATTGGTTCTGCTCATTTTGCAAGGTGCGAGATACCTAGAATAACTAAGTCTTCTATTTTCTTTAAAGAAAAGCAGATAGTACTTCCATGATACACACTGAAAAAAAAAGACAATATCATTTAAATGGTGGAACTAATCCAACAGTTACTGAGTTGAGCTGGACCTACTAGAGTTACTGTTAGTATATCAATGTTAATGTTTCTGTGGTATGTCAGAGGCCACCCACAAAATTATGCACAATCCCTACTGTGAAGGCTGGCTAATTAGAACCTGACTAAAGGATGGGAGAGTAGAAGCAGAGTTAATTAATGCGAAACAGAGAGCACAGTTCCAGTCAGCTGAACTGATAAAATACAAACAGGCAGGGGTTTTTTTTTCCCCTTTCCAGCTCCGTTTCCCTTTTTCTACTCTCTACCTCTCCTGTCCTGGCTGTGCAATTCCTGGTTTTAGCCCTATGCTTCAATCTCCTCCACAGCCCTTACATTCATCAGATATCTTCACAAGCCATTTCAACTCACTAACCCTGCAGATTAAAAATAAGACTATACTCTTTTCTCCATATGTTTTCTGCATGGCTAATGAACAGGCCCATGCAGGAGTAAGAGACGGTGAGGTGAGGAAAAGTCATTCCAAGTGGGCATCACATGCTGGAGTTAGTTACTAGTATCTTCACTCTAGCTCATCATCCTACTGGAAGCTGAATCAAGGTGATTTTACTGCATTCTCACAGTTTATCACTTTCCCCTCACTTTTATATTGTACATTTATGACCTTTAAGCAAACAGACCAGTTAGAATAAGAGAAAAAGAAAGGACAGTGCTTGCTGCAAATTCTGATGAAAGTGGGACACAGAATCTGAAGCCACCACCAGTTAATCCCTCTACATAAAAGCAAGAAGGACTGATACTGCATGGAGTCAGAAAGCTGTGCCTTAGCCAGCACTGTTCTGGAGAGAAGAATCGGCGTCAAAAGTTGCCATGTCAACACAGCACTGCAGAACTGCCAGGGAAACAGAGCATGCCACATGTCTGCTTCCAGGGAAAAAAGCCTCAGCCTTAGCTCCATAAAACATTGCAATGGGAATACACTGACTAGAAGATTTATATTTATATT